CTCCCGGAGAGGATGAAAAGCTGTCTCGTCTCCCCTACAAAGGGAGATAGATACCCAGGGCGTTCTCTTAACGCTTTTCGCACTGACGGTAAAATTATACTGGAGGCTGCCAGTGAAGAAATGGATGAAGATGAGGCCTAGGCTTTTCAGCACCTGAACAAGATGCAGCGGAGGGAAGACAGGGCTGGCAGCTCCTGGGACCACTTCGACACAGTCACAAGCCTCCCTCCTCACTCAAGCAGCCTTAACCTGCTGCCAAGGAGGAGTGCACCCCCTCCCTAACTCCCACTCTCAAGGGGGTTTAACTGCCAGTTTCCCCTTCCCCAACCCTAAAACCCGCCATAATGCTCCCTTTCTAGGGACAGGGAAGGGAAAGGATAAATTCGACTCAATAAAGCAACGTCTTGCCCCAACCAAGACACCTGAGAGTCAAGGTCTACCTCCCCACCAAAGGATAAAGATGAGAAGATCCCCTCCCCCTTGAAACACATGTCCCTCCACCCCGTAAGCCCCAGGAACTCCCAAAGAGACGACAAGCACTCACCTGAGATGTTCACACACCAGACACCTGAACCCCGTTATTTGTTCGACCCCCAAGGAGTCTCTCCACACCTCCACGATCAGACGATCCCCCGACAGCAGCCACTGCGGACACAGGACCCGGCTCCACACACCCCCTCCCCAAACAGCAGCGCGCAGCCTCTTCAGCAACCGAGAAATAGGGGAGGGGGCATTCAGTCCACAGGAACGCAGAGGCGACGGCGAGGCTGCTCGGAGTGTCTTTGCCCCTTCTGTTGCCGCTCCCGAACTCAGGTACGGTTTCCGACTGGGCCCCCTGCGCTCGCTCAGTGTCACTGCCTCTTACTCTGGGAAAATGGCGGCCACGGCGGCGGCGGCCGCGGCGGCGGCGGCGGCGGCGGCGGCGGCCAGTGCACGGGGCCCGCCCGCCCCGCTCCGCAGGGGCAGAGGGGGAGGGGACGAAGCTGCCCGCCGCCATTTTGCTTGTGGGCTGCCGCCCTCCGCTGTTGCCTTTCCAGAGGCTCCAAGACAGGCAACTGGAGGCCGAGAGGTGGACAGAATCTCCGTCTTTTTCACAAAAGATGCATTCAACAATTCTGCGAAGGTTTGGGAAGTTTTGGTATTGGTGGGATTTGGTCTTTACCCCTTTTCCCTGAGTAGCCCTCAATCTGGTTATGGGTGAGCTTGGGAATGGCACTACTGGGTGGAAGCATGACAGTAAGCCCTGGGAATGGCCACGCCCTCCCATCATCCTCCTAAATCAATGCACTTTCTCCCACTCCTCAAACACCTCGGTCCCGGTCTTCCCCTTCCCCTCCCCAGTCTGGCCTCCAGCGCAGGGTGAGCTCGGTGTAAATTGACACCCTCTAGGGGCCGAGGAGGCTCCAGTGCGCAGGCTCCGCGCACCGGATAAAAGCGGAGCTGGCGAGTCCAGCGCCGTCTTGATGGAGGAGCGAGAAACGGAAGAGGTCGGGGGGAGAAGCACTACGAAAAATACAGCCACAGTCAGCGCCGCCTCCCTGCTACCGTGTATCGGGGTAAAAGCTGTCGTTGCTGTCGGTGCAGTTGCTGTCGCTGCCTCCTACTTCTCTTGGCCCCGGGGAAGGATTTCCCCGCCGGCGGGACAATGCGGGGAAGGGAGCGGGAATTCCTTTATGTGGTGGTGATTCAGTGGGGGGAGAGCAGACGGTTATCTCGAAGAAAAAAGGACAAGGCCAAAGAATAAAACATGGGTTTCCCCCACTAAAATGGCACGGTGATTCCCGCTCTTGTTTTCGGGGTCTTTCCCCGAAATGGCGGTTTCCGTCTTGTCCTTGTCTCACAGCGACCCCAGCGCTCGGTGAACGGAGTGGGGAGAGGCAGGGGCGGTCCATGTAGCCAATCAGTGCTTACTGTGTTCTGTCGGGCGCGTTGTGATTGGCTAGCGATGACTTCATGTTGCAGCAGCGGGTGGGGCCAGAGCCCTCGGGGGAGGCTGTTGCAAAGGCAGAGTGGGAGAAGTGACGGTGGTGTTCGTTGTTGCCGCGCCGAAGTGGAGCCCAAGCAGTGGCGAAGGGAATCTCAAGGCTCTTCCCTGACATTTTCTCCTGTCCCTGCGCGAGGTGAGGGCCCCGGCTCGGCCTCTGCGGAACTTTGGGGCGCTGGCGCGGACGAGGAGACACAATTTCTCCCATGACTTTTGTAACTGCGTCAGGGCAAGATGGCGCTGGGTCTCCTTGGGACGCGGGGGGAGAGGCACGTCCACCGCCGCCGCAGCGCATGTGACTGGGCTGCATTCCTGTGGGGTTTGGCTCAGACCCAGGCTGGGGCGGGGGAGGGGAAAGGGCTGGGGCGGAGGAGATTGTTGCGGTTGGCTTTGGCGACCTGAAGAGGAAGAGATGACTGTTTGAGAGTGCGTCCCCTCCCCCATGCAGCTTAACAGCTGCGGCACCAGGAGGAAAGCCTCCGGAGGGACACTCCTTACGGGGTGTGATGGCTGTTGGTGAAGGTTTGGCGCCCTGTATCGTTATCTGCCTATCTCCTTGCAAAAGTATACTTACATAATGTGGCAGGTCCCTAGTGTGGAAATCTGAATCACCTGTGAGTACTTGCCCACCCCCCCACCCCCGACTCCTGGGCCACGATGCAAGGAGTGTCACTTATTTTCTGAGAAAACGTCAGGTTTCTCAGATCCAAGTGAAAAACAGTCCTGAATTTGAAAGCAGGTGTAAGTAACACCCAGGAACACTTTTAATTTTCTTTTTTATTATTAATTTATCTATTGTCGAAAATACTTTTTTCCCCCATTGACTCCCTCCTCCCCGCTCCTGCCCACAACACTTAATTTTCTAAGAGTTACTAGAAACCAAGGAATATACCATCTGAATTTTGAGGGTCTTTTTCAAACTTTCTGGACTTTCATCTGGACTTACTTCCGTATCTTCCCTATCTGTACATCCTCCAAGAATGGGCAATTTCATCAGTGGATTTGCTTTTCTGTTTAAATTTAAGCATGAGTATTAATACAGAATAAAAACTGCTAGTATAATCAGAAGTTATAAGGCTGTTTTCAATACTTTTATGTTGACTTTCTGTCGCCCTCTTACTGTATAGTTTTTTAAAAGATGAAGTTGTAAACGGTAAATAAGATTTCCTGCACCATTATGAAACCTTCAGGCCTACTTCTTTAAATCACTTTTGTGGAAGTGTGAACTTTAGTTTTAGTTTTTGAAACCTTCCTAGGTGAAAATCTCCAGCAATTCAAAAATTCTTAAACTTTAAGTTGGCATATTCAGTAAGGAAGACTCGTTTTGTTTTTTATTATTCCCACTTGGCCAAACTAGTGTAGCCGTCATCTAAACTGGTGGAGATTTAAAAGACTTATGATGGTGTCAAGTGAAAATGGAGTTATTCATCAAGGATATTCGCCTCTGAAACCTGGCTTGCTTTTTGGCGGGACCACCTCTATTTGTTGCCAGGAGGAAATGTTTGCTGGACCTGAGGAGATAAGTTTAACCTGGATTCAAGGTTGTGCTATTTCTATTTTCTTTAGTCTTAGTTGTAGACTTTGTAGTTTGAAAACAAGATTGGTGTTTTTAAATTCGTATATACTTAAAGCCATACTAATTTTTGTGGCTTTTTTCCCAGTGAAGTAACAGAATGTGAATGAAAGGAAAAGCCAGTGATTCAATTGTAAATATTAAATAGTACAAAGATTTTTTAAAGTTCAAAGAATTTTTTGTTTTTGTTCACTCTGAATATACAGTGGGCATTTTGCCTATAAGGACTTGGGAATATCTTCAGTGGTCTGTTTTGTATAAGTTATCTACCTTACCATCATAGCAACTTTTATTCTGGCTTAGAAAAGAGGGGATAAACATGAAGTCAGTGGATTTTAAGGTACTTTTTAGAATGTTCCTATTCCTAGTTTTTCTGTGCCTTAATAAGAAAAAGAGGCAGTTTAAGAAGCTAATGGAAACAAATCCTTGATTTCTACTTTGAATAAGCATGTATCCTCATTGTTTCTACTTACCAAATCCATGAGCCTCTTGAGCTCTAGTTTTTCTTTACATTACTGGAATTTTAAATACTACTTGTAATTATTTTCTGTCTTTGACTACCTTCTTGTATTTTATGTTCTCTGGGCAGTTTCATTTGTGCCTATCCCGTGATAATTCCCACATTTTCATCTCAGAGGTGCATCTCTGGGCAATTTCATTTGTGCCTATCCCGTGATAATTCCCACATTTTCATCTCAGAGGTGCAGATGGAATGTTATGGTTTACAGAGGTGCCACAGGTTTCCTCAGCTCATCCTACATTTCATTATCTGAGTAAATCATACCCTAACCTTCCTTTACCTATGTCTGTTCAAATCTAACTGGGTTCGCATACCATATGGGCTAAAAATACCATCTCGTAATAGCTGTGTTATTTCATACCTTTGTACCTTTGTTCACGACCAGCTGCAGTGCCTCTTCCCACTGCTGGTTAATACAACTTGAGCATTTGCCTCTGAAACTCTTCTAAATCCGATTCCCAAGTAAAATGAACCATTCTTTATATTGGTGACCCAACCCAATGTGTACATACTTTTTAAGAGATTGATAACGCTTTCCTGGTAGACCATACAATGTAAAATACTTGCACTTTTTAAAAAAAAAAAAAAACACTTTTGACCACTAGACTGGAGAAGAGGTGAAAGGTTAGGATTGCTTAGGAGCAAAGTTTCTCTTACAAGATGGTTGGGGAAATGGGCCCAGCTGATGGAACAGATAATTTTGTCCCAGGAAAGATGGAAAACCCAGCCCATGTTGCTCAGTGGACTGAATGTCGTCCTGTGGCCTGAGAGTTCTGGGTTCGATTCCCAGTCAGGGCACATACCCAGGTTGCAGGATTGATTCCGGGAGGTAGCTGAGTGATGTTTCTCTCTCTCCCTGTCCCTAAAAAATCAATAAAAACATTTTTTTTTTTTTTTTTTTTTTTTTAAGAAAAACTAGCCTTACCACTTATGGGCTTTTTTGTTGAAAATCAAGTGCAGTGTGAGTTCTTAATCAGTTTAATAGCTGACACGTCTTCTGTCTGAGGACAATATATTGAATGTATTTTTGGATCAGGGAGATGGAATAGGAGCTTGCTCAGTCCACTCTGAACATCCACCTAGGTATCGCAGTACTTCTGGGAACAGTGTACCAAAACAAAACACTGACCTTAGTTTTAGTCAATATACATATGTCTCAAATCTAGAGGACATTTAACCCACAAACTTCCAACAGTATGTAAAACCAGTGAATATTAGGGTTTATAATATTCTTTGATGTCTTCAGGGTTTATCAAAGCATGTAGTACTGCTTTCTCTGATACTGGAGGACCCAATTTGTTGTGCCCTTGGATTTAATTGTTTTTGTCACTTTTCTTGCTGTTTATAAGTGCTCCATGTGCCAGCCTTTAGTAGCTACGTGTATTTTATGTGTCATGAAGTTGGCATTCCAGTAATGGCTTATGAAAATTATATATGAAGTTTTGCAAATATGAGCTTTAATAGTATAAACATTGATGATCCCTTTTTCTGCTCTTAATGCTTTTTTGGAGTATTTAATCGTCATTGTCTATTTAGCTTCACATTTGTTGTTGAAGCTCAAGTTCAAAGTAAGAAAATATTCAGAATCACTGGTGACTTTAACTGGACTTTACTTTTTTTTATCCTCATCTGAGGACATTTTTCCATTTTTTGTTCAGATAGAGTGGGAGGGAGGGAGAGAGAGAGAGAGAGAGAGAGAGAGAGAGAGAGAGGGAGAGAAACATCGACATGAAAGGGACACATCTAGTGGCTGCCACCCACACAGCCCAGCCAGGGCCGGGGACAAACTGCAACCGAGGTACGTGCCCTTAGCAGGAACCGAAGCCGGGTCTCTGTGGACCGCAGGCTGACGCTCTAAAGCTGAGCCAAACCAGCCAGGGCAGACTTTTTTTTTTTTCCCCTCATCCGAGGACATTTTTCCATTTTTTGTTCAGATGGGGCGGGGGGGGGGGGGGGTGGAACACCGCCCAGAAAGGGACATGTCGAGTGGCTGCCTCCAACATGACCCAATCAGGGCTGGGGGCAAACCGAAACCAAGGTACGTGCCTTTAGTGGGAACTGAACCCTGGTCTCTCTGGACCACAGGCCGGCGCTCTAACCACCGAGTCAAACCAGCCAGGGCAGAGTTTTCTTAATAGATATTCTTATTGATTATTTAAGAGAGGGGGAGAGAGAGAAACATCATCGATCAGCTGCCTCATGCTCACCCCCTGGATTTTTTTTTATATAAAAATTTCTTCTGCCCGGCTGGTGTGGCTCAGTGGTTGAACATCGACCCATGCACCAAGAGGTCGCCGGATAGATTCCTGGACAGAGCACATGCCCAGGTTGTGGGCCAAATCTCCAGTGGGGGCATGCAGGAGGTGGCCGATCCATTTTTTCTTTCATCGATGTTTCTACCTCTCTCCCTTCCTCTCTCTCTAAAATCAATAAAAAAGAAAAATTTTTTTCTTAATTTCTTTTGCCTTACCCCCACTCCTGACTAGTGTCCTCTAAGTATAGAATGAAAAATTTATATCTGAAAATTGTTTGAACTTAAACTGTTAAATATACCTTAAAATGTTAAGCAACATATGAAGCCTGCTATGGTATGCTATCTTCTAATTCAGCAAGGGATAACTTATGTTAACTCTTAACCTGAAATTCATATTTACATATAGTAGTCAAAAAAACTTTCTAGGGAAACTTTAGTTTCAAATGTAAAAATGGAGTCAGTATAGAAGAGCTGTAAAATCTATTGGCGGTCCTTCATTTGCTTGGAGAAGTAAGTGAATGGTAGTTTAAACAGAACAAAATTTCTGAATGTAACTAGTTTATCAACTCCTAATCCTATTTAAAGCTCATGATTGTTTTTTGTTTTTTAAAGAAAAGTATTTTAGGCCTTAGCCAGGTAGCTCAGTTGATTAGCACCATCCTCATCCCAATTTGCCAAGCAGGGTGTTTTGTGGCGTTTTTCTTCAATGCTTTTGTTTGCCAAAGTATGCAGAGTTTATCTTGCATTTATAGTTTTTATAAAAGGAAATTGGTTTTGGGGTTGTTTTTGTTTGCTGCTTTGTTGTAAGCATGCCACAAAACAAGGACAGCATTGTCTTTGAGGTATAGAATATACCTTTAATGAACAAACTATCTTTTATATGGTAACTAATCCAAATAAATCGCTTATAAACATAGTTGGTAAACAATGTTTCATACAACTAAAATGTGCCTCTCTATATTGATACTTGTCTCTCAAATTTAAAACTACATTCGAGTTTTTTCCCTCCAGTTGCTTTGTTCCTGGGTCTGGTTGGAACTCAAGCTCTAATCTCAGTCAAATAATTTGCATTCCTACCATATTTAAGACACACAAAACATCATTCCTAGCCCTTACTTTTCAGTTAGGTTGACGAGATTAAAAACTCAGTAATTAGAGCCTTTGAAGAAATTATATCTATTAAATGTTTACTTGCTAATTTCTCCTAGCCTCTATTATTACACCTTTTAAACCCAGCTCAATTTTAATGCCACTGCCATTTCTGTGTGTGTGTGTGTGTGTGTGTGTATATATATGGCTTGGTATGTGCTGACAGTTAACATCAAAGAAAGGAAAGGTCACTGGATAATAAGTGAGAGTATAACAACTGGAATTGAGGACTGAGGACAAGTTTTGAGGTTTTGGGGGGTGTGTGTGAGGAGTTAGTGTTTGAGAGAGAGAAACGGAGAGACATTCATTGGCCCCGACTGGGGACTAAACCTGCAACCTAGTTATGTGCCCTGACCTGGAATCGAGCTCACAACATTTTGATGTGCGGGACAACACTCCAAATTATTGGGGCCACCAGGCCTTTGATACTAGTTTACTGAGAGTGGAGAAAAATTATTAGAAAGTCTTGATTTAAGGACCGATTAGGAATTGTTAACTGCTAGTGACTCCCCTCACCCCTCAAAAAGAATACTCTGCCCAGAAACATGTTTGATACTATTGTATACTTTATCACAGTTAAAAGGTTATTTAACCCAAGGTGGTGGAGCAGTGATTTCAACACCTATCTTTGACTTCACTGAAGTTCAATTCCTTACCCTAGTTATACTGTCTGAATGAAGACTTAGTTTTGAATCTAGACACAGGACAGTAAAGTATTTTAGGATTTGTATTAAAGCTTATCTGTCTTCAACTGAGGGTAGGGGCTGGCTCTTGGGGCCCTTGATATAAGGGCTTTAAGTAGGACGAGCCTGAATGAGAGAGTAAGAATGATAGAATAAAGGAGGTACATAAGACATTGCAGAAACATCCATGCTTGCTTCTTTCTTGGAGAGAAGAAAGAACTGACTTGGAAGAAAAATAACATTAAAATTTGGTAGTCTTCAAAGATGAAAGTCAAAGCTGAGTAGATTTAATCTTAATAGACAATGTAGCAAGAAAACTGACTTGTCCACATTTTAGACCTAGGAAAAGGAACTGATTCTGTTTGTTTGTTTTTAGTTAGCTAAATTATATGCTGGTACATACTTAGCTGAGTCTGGTTAACCATAGTAAGAATAGTAATAGTATTTTATTTATAACTCTTCTAAGGATGCATTTTGCTAGATTATTCTATAATGCACAAAAATGATAGGTAGCTTTTTAAGTCCTTTTTTAAATTAAAAATGTAAATGATTCTCTAAGAAGTGGTAATTTTTTTGAGCCAAGTTCTCTGTTTTATTTTAGGATTCTATACCTGAGGAGGTTTTCCTCTTTTTTTTTTTTTTTTTTTTTTTTTTTGGTTGGGTAAAATTTTTTTTTATTGGAAAACAAATATACAACTTGGAATGGATTTGAGGCAAATTGTGCCATAAGCAGATTTTCTTTAAGTGGCTAAACAAAGTTTACAAAGCAAGTAACAATAAAAGAAAATGTTTCTGGTACAGGACCAGCAGTACAAAAAAATAGTGTACGAATACCTGGGTAATACACCCGTTTTGCATTAGTGCAACTTTTAAGTACATATTGTTGACTGTCCATAGTCCACGCAGAGTTACAACTCCACACTTCAACAACAACATGCTGACAGTTGCTAAAGAAAACTACTTAAAAAAGGCATAACCCAGATGTTCCCTCATTTGACCAACTCCATCTAAGTTTAGATGTGCAGAAGGGCTTAGATACATCCAGAGTAAGCCACATGCAACATGTTACTTGATCAATTTTCTAAAATAAGGTTTCAGGACAATGACAGTAAGATAAGGGAAGAAAACATGGAGGAATGAAGTCCTAATTACTATACATGCATATTTTTTTTGACAGTAGGGGGAACCTTTTACAGATAAGTTACAAACAAAAGGCAAATAAACAATTTTGTGCAAGAAATTTAACACATTCTGTACAATATCTTCACTTTGCTGTCATCATTTGTACAAACTCTTCATAGTTTACTTGACCATCACCATCAATATCTGCTTCCCTGATCATTTCATCAACCTCTTCATCTGTTAACTTCTCTCCAAGGTTTGTCATCACATGGCGAAGCTCTGCTGCACTAATATAGCCATTGCCATCCTTATCAAACACACGGAATGCTTCTCGAATTTCTTCTTCACTGTCTGTATCTTTCATTTTTCTTGCCATCATTGTCAGAAATTCCGGGAAGTCAATTGTGCCATTACCATCAGCATCCACTTCATTAATCATGTCCTGTAACTCTGCTTCTGTGGGATTCTGCCCAAGAGACCTCATTACAGTTCCCAATTCCTTTGTTGTTATAGTTCCATCACCATCCTTGTCAAATAGTGAAAAAGCTTCTTTGAATTCTGCAATCTGCTCTTCAGTCAGTTGGTCAGCCATGCTGCAAGTGCTACCGGTCTCCGAGACGCTACCACACAACCACTCAGCTCGCTCGCTCCACACGGACTAATCGTTTTCCTCTTTTCTTAGAAAGTAAAATTGTGTAAATTAATTTCAAAAATTATAAAAACCATGCACTTGTTTAACTCTCAAACTAGGTTGCTTCTATCACCATTGACCTGATTCCTAAGAGAGAAAGTAACACAAATGCTTTGTGAGCAAATGAGGTGGTTTAACTCTGAATTTGAGGAAATTGCTAGTAATTTGTCAAATACTTGAATTATTTTTATAGCAAGATCAGAACTTAGCAACTAAACTCCTAGTAGGAATTTATAAACCTCTCCATCACGTACTTTTCACACATGCCCAATGCCTGATTCCTAATGTCTTTCTGATAAATTTTATTAGTTAGATCAAGAGAACCTGTTCCTCCAGTTTAGTCTAATTCCTCTTATTTATTAATGAAGGAATGCTATGCTAAGGTGACAGCTCATTCCTGAAGAAAACTTATTTTGGATAAGTAAGAAATGCCAAATTATTTTTTCTCCTTCTATACTATAATAGAAACCTGAAAGGGCAGCAGAAATGCTCACTTTTCTCAGGTTCATATATTAACAATGGTATGGTATAGTGTAGGCATCTCTCCTGTGTCCTAAACACAACTTGTCTAAACACATCTATGCAAGATATTCTGTGGCTGCTTTCTGTTTTTATTACAATGCTCTCACTTTATGGCCAGTTAAAGGGCAAATAGGAGTGACAAGAATATATCAGATGATTGAAAAATACTTTAGAAAATTAAATGGCTGTGAGAAGAGATATCTTTGAACATCTGAAGTTAAGGGTTCTCTTGTGCCAGCTTTGGAATTTTTAAGTGTCTAAAAGTTAACTCAGCCTTTTGTGAAAAATTTGGTATCCCTGGGGAATAAGAAAAGACTAGATGCAATTATTTGCCTTTATAACATTTTGTCAGAGTTCTGTATTTTTATGTGCTCCAGATGTGGGTGGTCTTATATAACCTATAACATTTGATTACTTTGGAATATACCTTCTTAAAACTCTTTGGTTTATCCCTGGCCGGTTTGGCTCAGCGGTTAGAGCATCGGCCTGCGGTCCGGAGAGACCCGGGTTCGGTTCCCGCTAAGGGCACGTTCTTGGGTTGCCGTTTGTCCCCGGCCCTGGTTGCGGGTGGCAGCCACTCGATGTGTCCCTTTCACGTCGATGTTTCTCTCTCTCTCTCTTCCTCTCTCTCCCTCCCACTCTATCTGTACAAAAAATGGAAAAATATCCTCGGGTGAGGATAAAAAAAAAAAAAACAACTCTTTGGTTTATATATATCCTAATATCCTTTGCTAGTTGATACCCCTGTCCTTCCTGTTTGTATTAGTTGCTTTCTTCTGCTTCTTTTTTTTTTTTAATCCTCACCCGAGGACATTTTTCCATTTTTTGTTCAGGTAGAGTGGGAGGGAGAGAGAGATAAACATCGATGTGAAAGGAACACATCGAGTGGCTGCCACCCGCACAACCGACCAGGGCCAGGGACAAACTGCAACCAAAGTACGTGCCCTTAGTGGGAACTGAACCCGGGTCTCTCAGGACCGCAGGCCGACGCTCTAACCGCTGAACCAAACTGGCCAGGGCTCTTCTGCTTCTTAATTTTGGTAGTTCTCAGGGTTATGTCTCCAGCCACCTTTTCACCAATTGTATTAATCAACTCCCACAGCTTTTACCTATTGATGACTCCAGAATTTATGATCTCTGCATTCAACTAGTACTAAATATAAGTACTTCAAACCAAACAAAATTTTTTTTTAAACAATTCCATTTCCCTGGCCTGTTTGGCTTAGCAGTTGGAATGACGGCCCACAGACTAAAGAGCCATGGGTTTGGTTCCAGTCAAGGGTACGGCATACTTCAATTGTGATTTGATCCCCAACCCTGGGTTGGAGTTGTATAGTGGGCAACCAATGTGTCTCTCTCACATAGATGTTTTTCTCTTTCTCTCTCTCCCTCCCACTCTATCAAAAAATCAATGGAAAAATATCCTTGGATGAGAATTTAAACAAAAAACAATTCCATTGCTTTGGGGGGAAATCACTTATGAAAGGGGTTTATGGATTTTTTTTAAATATGCTTTTACTGATTAAAAAAATTGTTTTTTCTTTATTGATTTTAGAGACAGGAAGGGAGAGAGAAATAGAAACCTCTATGAGGGAGAACATCCATTGACCACCTCCTGTATGCCCCCCACTGGGGATTGGGCCCACAACCTGGGTATGTGCCCTGACCAGGAATTGAACTGGCAACCTCTTGGTGCGTGGGTCGACGCTCAACCACTGAGCTACACCAGCCGAGCACTTTTATTGATTTTTTTTAAAGAGAGAGGAATGGGGAAAGAGGTAGAAATATCTATGTGAGAGAGAAACACTGATCTGCTTGCCTCCTGCACACCCCCTACTGGGGATTGAGCCAGCAACCCAGGCATGTGTCCTGACTGGGAATCCAACTGGGACCTCTCAGACCATGGGAGGAGATTCTCAATCCACTGAGCCACACTGGCCAGGCCAAACTAAACAAATTTAAAACAGCTTCTTTTCTCTGTAAACTTTTTTCCTTGTATGTCCATTTTTGGTTAATGGTTCTACTCTTCTAGCTTATTCATGTGATCAAACATCTTTTCAAAACAACCTTTCGTGCTTAAAAACACTTAGTTCACCAGAGATTTGAAGATCAAGTCCAAACATCCTATGACGTGCAAGGTTCTTCATCTGGCCTCTCTTTATGAGCCTCAGGGACACCACTGAAGTGAAAATGTGTCTAGTTTGAATATTTGTTCTTCCACTTCAAATGAGACGTTGGGTAGTTTGCTTTCTGGGCCTGTTTCATAATCCATAGGATAAGTAAAATATTAACTGTGTCATTGTTGTGATTAGGGATTAAATGAGAAATTAAAGTTCCTGGAGCAGTTAATGATTCATAGTAAACTCTCAATTATCTTTATCTCCAGAAAATGAGACATTTCTTTGTTATTTTTGTGCCTATCACAGCATATTTATGTTACTCTTTTCTATTAGTTTGTGAGATGTTGATAGGCAGTGTTGCGTTAATCTTTAGCTAATGTTCAAAGTTCCTGGCATACAATAGGCACTCAGGTTTTGTTGTGCAAGTAACAGATAATCTGATTTGATACCAGGTGTCTGAGAATTTTGCTATAGCATGAGTTTATGATAATAGCAAGCAGTTGGGTACATAATTGGATGCAAAATATTTTGGTTGGTTCTATAATATAAAACTTTTGGGTTTTTTTTCCTTTAAAAAAAAACAGCAACAAAAACTCATTTTGCCCAGCAAGTGTTGCTCAGTGGTTGAGCGTGGACCCATGCCCCAAGGGGTTGCCACTTTGGTTCCCAGCAGTCAGGGCAAATGTCCAGGTTATGGGCCCAGTCCCCAGTGAGGGGGCATGCAGGAGGTGGCCAGTCGATGTTCTCTTTCATCGATGTTGCTATCTCTCCCTTCATCTCTCTGAAATCAATAAAGAAAAGAAAAAAAATTAAACTCATTTTACTGGTATTAGTATCCCTCAGATATAGTTTCTACCTGTCATGTTCTTCTTTCCTCAAATATGTGTGCCTTTCATTGTGCAAGGTAAGACTAGTCCCTACTTTTACTCATTTATAATGTAGTTTGGGGTTAAGCCATGTGAGGATAATTATTCATCCAGGAACCCCAGTTCACAGGTTTCTGTTTTTCAGAGAGGAATAAAATTTTTAGACTAGGAGGAGCAAAATATTTGTGGATTTCAACAGTGAACAGGAAGGGCAGTGAAACACAAAGTATTTGCAGTAAGCATGGCTTTATGTGCAAAGGCATGGACCAGGAATAGAATTTATTTTTTATTAGATCTATTGGGGTAACATTGGTTAATAAAATTATATAGATTTCAGGTGTACAGTTCTACAATACATCATCTGTATATTGTGTGTTTACCACCCCAAGTTGAGTCTCCTTCCGTCACCATTTATTACCCCCTTTATCCTTTTCTGCCTTTCCCTACTCCCTCTTCCCATATGTTGTCTGTGTTCATGAGTCTGTCTTTTTTTTTTTTCCTTTGCTTACTTAATCCCCTCACTCTTCTCACCCAGCCCCCAAATGCATCCCCTCTGATAGCTGTCAGTCTGTTCTCTGTATTATGAATCTGTTTCCACTTAGTTTATTTTGTCCATTAGGTTCCACATGTAAGTGAAATCATATGGTACTTGTCTTTCTCTGACTGGCTTATTTTGCTTAGCATAACAAGAGGATGTGTTTTAAATAAACCAGTTTAACTAGACTTGCATGAGTACATTGATGAGACTGGGAAAGACAGTGGATTGGACCCAGATGATCTCATTTTTAAAATTTCCTATTTTTTTCCTCAGTGCAGTTCAAACCATTTCTTTTTCATTCTTTTTTTTCTTTTTCTTTTATTTTGAGGAAATAGTCTCAAAAGGAAATGACAGACTTAAGTTTCAGAGTAGGCCTGAAACTCAGATACTGCTCATTAACTACAAATTTAAAATTGCTATTAATAAACACGAATTTAAGAGAATTCTAGGCCAGCCTCTGTGGCTCAGTGGTTGAACGTTGACCCATGCACCTAGAGGTCGCCGGTTCGATTCCTGGTCAGGTCACATTCCCCAGTGTGGGGGCATGTAGGAGGCGGCCAATTGATGTTCTCTCTCATCAATGTTTCTCTCTCTCTCCCTCACCCTTCCTCTCTCTCTCTAAAAATCAATTTAAAAAACTTTTTTTTAAAGAGAGAATTTGGCATTTTAAATTTTATGCTGAGAATCCATATAGCACAGCAGCCTATGTTTGTATCTATATATAGCAAAAGCCAGAACTTGTAATTTTGCTGCTGCATCAGGAAATGTATCTTGATACCATATTAAAATTCTGGGCCCAAAAAATTTTTATTAAAATGTTTCAAATTTCAGGTTATTTTTATGCTTGTACCTCTTAAATTCATTGTGTTTGTGCAAGATGCATTTTTTTATGGCTTTAGGACAGCTTATACACAT